CTGACATCTCGTCCGTCGTGTGATGGACAACATCTTTTACGATAATTAACCAAGCGCAAAGACAAGATGGCCGACTGCAATCTTACCTACCTTTTATGGTTCGAATTAAGTATTGTTTTCGGGATACCAGTAAATCAGTAACATGAGATGATTCACCCAATTCCGATTAAGGTGATGAAGGACTGGTAGAAGAATAATTTTCACACAATGATATGAGTTGAGCTGACGGTTCTATTGTATTTCACTACCAGTCCTTCATCATCTTAAACGAAATTGGGTAAATACATCTCAATAGTATTCTTGTTTTGCAAATTAAGTATTGTTTTCGTGACTACCAGTAAATTAGTAAATCAGCAGAAGAAGAATTTTCCCACAATCATATGAGTAAAGCTGACGTTTCCATTGAATTTCACATAGCCTTGCTTTCCCAAAAGTTGTTCTCATCTCGGCTGGAGTGGACTGCATTTTCGACCTCGCATTGGTCTTATCAACAGCTTCAGCAGGAGTCGACCGATGCGAGGTCGAAACTGCAGTCCACTCCAGCCGAGATGAGAACAACGTTTGGGAAAGCAAGGCTATGTGAAATTCAATGGAAACGTCAGCTTTACTCATATGATTGTGGGAAAATTCTTCTTCTGCTGATTTACTGATTTACTGGTAGTCACGAAAACAATACTTAATTTGCAAAACAAGAATACTATTGAGATGTATTCACCCAATTTCGTTTAAGATGATGAAGGACTGGTAGTGAAATACAATAGAACCGTCAGCTCAACTCATATCAATGTGGGAAAATTGTTCTTCTACCAGTCCTTCGTCACCTTAGACGAAATAGGGTGAATCATCTCATATTACCTTTTATGGCTTAGCCAAGTCCACTTAATGCGACATTTCAGAAATTGGTTGGAGATCATATGCTTTTCCTACAAATGAAGCGCGAATGGGATGCAATTGTGACCGAACAGTTAGAATGCCGGCGGAACGTCTGGGAATGCACCAAGTACGCGTTCCTACGCCGGGAATCATGACAACTGCTCAAGCAGAGGACTTTGGATAAAACGCGTCCAACTAAGTCGCCCTGGTAGCACAATCAATTCGCGAAAACGAGATCACACCATTTCCATATCCACTCAATTTGGTAAAGAGTAGGTTTCGAGGCTAGCATGTCTGAGAATCTCGAGCTAACGTACAGCATAATGTTGCCAGGTGAACTGAGTTGTGGAGTGCTGGGAAAGAGTAAATGGCATCAAAAAGAGGCTGCAGCACACACGCTATTGTCTTTGTGGCCAACGTGTGGGCCAACAGGCCCTGTTTCCAACCGTGAAGACGCAGTTTTCTTCGCCCACCCCAACACCAGCGCAAGAGTGGGTGTTCTCGTGGCCTCGGACAAGTCACAATCTTTGCAGAAGAGCCAAAGGGTAGCCATCGCCTCGAGCATTGCAGCGGAGGTTAAAGCAATCTTTTGTCGTGTTGCTCCCGTAGTTGGAGGGGGGGTGGGGTGGGGTTGGGGGGGAGGCGAGAGACAGACAGAGGGCAGGATCTGGCAGAAGTTTGTGGAGGAGGGGCATCCGCAGTAGTTCATGGGGCAGTTGCCGTTGTCATCATCGCGGTGGTGGTTGCTGCAGCGGACCTTGTCGTTGTGGCGGTGAGGGTAAAGGAGGGCTGACGCACGAAATGGTAGTGCAAATGAAGGAGTTGGACTTTGAGAGAAACGGGCTGGAGACACGAGAAGGAAGACGGAAAGGAAGAACTGTACAAAAGCGGGACTAAAAAGGGGCTTAGAAAAAGCCTGGCCGACTGGAGAGCAGGAAAGGGGCGTGGAGGCAAGGCCGGTGTCACCGGGGCAACCTTCCAACCATACAAGCCATCAATCAGAGCGGACTGCTCGTCTGATGACCCGTCTGTGCATGAATGCGTGAACCTGTGTGTGTTCGGGCTGGGCATCATGGTGTCCGGATCACGTCTCTCCACCACCGACCGTTCAGTATGCTCTGAGTGTATGTGTGTCATGTTGTTTCAGTTTTGATTGAACGAGTCAGTTGGTTGGTTTGCAGACCAACTTTCCGTCCTGTTCCGGGAGGAGAGATTGAAATCCTCAGCGGCCGGAAGCCGAAAAGAACAGGAATCCATTTGTCAGTTGCTGCCAGGGCGGGCAAGAACATACGCAAGGCAACAACCAACCGCTCTGTGGCCGACTCATTCTGGGCAGAAACGCCCTTTTCTAAACATGAACCCCGTCGCAGGCCGACACAAAGCCCGACTCTCGAGAGGCTACCCGGGCTCTGGAGGCAGTCGATCCGAATCCACTTTTCTAGAAGAGGCGCCAGACCAAAAGTTGCACGTCGGTCGCCAAGGCCGCCTGATTACCTCGAGGCTGCACTTGTTGACACAGCCCTGACGACGACCAGTGCGTGTCGAAACGCATCGAGTCTCACTCGTTTCCGAGGCGCCCTCAAAAGAGCACCGACGAGAGCCAGAAAAGTCAGCTTTCTGGGCAGACTAATTAGAAGAAAGAACTTAATCTGAACCCAACAGGCAGGGAAACAACCTCGACCGAATGTTACTATACTACTCTTTTCCCGTTAGTAGTCACACAGAGCTCTGTGATAAATTCATGTATGCTTTGTCGGTTAACAATAACTGATAGCCTCCATGTTTGCCAAACGACTCGGCCATGGTACTTCCTCATTGTGCAAATATTGGTATGCAGTAAAAGTGGGTTTCGAAGAATCCCTTAATAGATTCATGCTGTAGTAGCTTTCCTTTCCGTTTGAAGAGGCGAGTAGAAGCGATTCGCAAATTAGTTCCACCGTAGGCTGGGGGAGGGGGGTTGCCTTGGAGCGGTGGTTGTAGATTTGTGCGAATAGGTCCTCGGCGCAGTGTCCTGACAACCCGATCAATCCTTGCCAAGCTTTCGTCCGTCATGTGACAGGCATCGTCAGAGCAGGACACCATGGTACTCCAACATGTGCAAATATTGTTTGTAGTGCTAAGGCAGAGACCCTGGCAGTCATCGTGTATGAAAAGTTATTGGGGAGACTTTGATTCTGTGTGGAAGCGGGCCTGATGGAGAAGTTCAAAGGTTGATATCACCAGAAGACGTTGTAATGCAGCCATTTGGCTTTAATACGGCGCTCAGATTGACGCAGTCCACGATGGACATCATCAGAGCCGGAGTTTGTTCTTGCAAAAGTCAAGAATATGAGATTTATTCATGATATTTCGTTTAGGGTGATGCAGGAACTGGTAGTTGAATTTTCCCACAATTAATTGAGTAAACATGACGTTTCACATAGTCTTGCTTGCCTAAAAGGTATTCTTATCCCGACTGGATTGGACTGCCGTTTCGACCTCGCATCGGTTTTATCAACACCCAAGCGGGACTCGAACCATGACATTGCAGCATATGCTCTCGACACGATAAACCCTACGCCACGTTGACATAAATGCCCTTCGGTCACAGGGCAGATGTTAATTGTGAATAAGGCCAGACATTTCCCATATCACATTCTATGGTAAGGTGCTATAGCAAATACAGCTTTGCTTCGTCCACAATCCCACTACAGAATGTGATATGGGCAAATGTCTGGTTCTACTTTAAATGCAACTCTGCTCTCTAACCCAGGGGCACTCATGGCATTATGGCGTTGGGGTTAACGTGTCGACGTCATAGACTGCAGTATCATAATTCGAGTCCCGCTAGGGGTGTTTATAAAACCTCGGAGAGGTCGAAGCCGCATTCCACTCCAGCCGGGATGAGAATTCTTTTTTGAAACACAAGGCTATGTGGAAGTCAATGGAAACGTCATGTCTAATCATATGATTGTGGGAAAATTAAAATATCACCTTAAACGAAGTAGTATCTGAACTACTGGTAGTCTAGACAGCCTACTTACAAACCAAAACTAAGTCAAGAAGACGGTTCAGCTCTATCTTACTTCGTATATATACTCATAACTAAAAAACTAAACTGAATAGGCATAAATAAATATGGAATATTTTGGTTAATTCTCTTTCATAGGGGTCATGCTACCTTTGCTCGTGTGTGCGCGTGTGTGTGTTAACGTCTATATGAAATACCAGTCCTAAATCACAGTGATCAAAAAGGCTAATATCAGGCTCTGAGCATCAAGCTTTAATGACCCAAGAAAGAGACCTGACCGAAACTGCGTAAGTCCGCAAGGAAGCACGGCTGATATAAGGAAATGTAAGCTTGTAT